AGTACTCGTCACAGAAAAAGGTTTGTAGGGATTGAGGTCCTGGGTGTTCAGTACTCGTCACAGAAAAAGGTTTGTAGGGATCGAGGTCCTGGGTGTTCAGTACTCATCACAGAAAAAGGTTTGTAGGGATCGAGGTCCTGGGTGTTCAGTACTCATCACAGAAAAATGTGTAAACAAAGGAGTCAAAAGATCAAAAAAGGATTTCATTTCATATACATTTAATGTACATATTCACGTAATTTTTACAGATTCATACACATCTGTACAAAAAGTTATAAAATTCCCTGACAAGATGTGTAGGATATACAACATGGGATGTTCCAATTCTGCCTCCAAATACATATATACAATAGTTAATATCCTCATTCTGGAAGTAAACAGGTATGATATGTAGAATTTGTTATTTCACTGAAATAATAAACACACTGAATAGTGCCAATATCAATATTTTTCTAGCTGACTGTTGTTCTGAAGGTCAGCTCTAGATCATCACTGACAGAAAACTCCAGTATTTATACTATAACCAGTAACACCATTCAGTTATGGTGATTTATGATTTATCATCATGCTTTCCCTTGTCTCCCTTTGCCATTACTCCAGTTCAGTATAAACAATGACTGACACTAAATTACTGCGTAATACTCAAAAACAAATATATTTTTGGAATTGGCTTTAAGATTTGTCTTTGAACATTTTATAGTTATATTTTCTTGAGAATCCAGTATAAATATGGTTAATTTACTTTTCCCAGTGTATTTGATCCTGCTTGCATTTTAACTTAGTCATATAGTTTCTGTTTACTCTACATACAGACTAACAAAACTTTAACAAAGTACATTTTGTATTAGTGTTCAAAAGATAACCATTCGTGAAAAAGAAAGATGGATTAAAAACTTTCAGGAAAATGTAAAACACATTGTTTCTTTCTATAGTGATGAAAAAATTAAAAATATTCTGGTTAAACAATCTTAAGCTCTAGGCATAAAAAAAAAAAATTAAAATACATGTTCCCATCATAAAGATCTTATGACATATATAGCATGGTGTTTAAAAGTGATTTTTTTTGCCTTAAAATTTAATTAAGACGTTCTTTTTAATTATGGATTATAAAATATAATGATAAGCAAATAACACAATATTAAATAATTAAAAATTGATAAGCCACTTTATATTCTGTTCTGTTTACTGTTATATAAAAAGTTCCATCTACATTTAATGTAAAAAATAAAATACAATGATAATTTGATGTTTTTTGTCCTTCTTCATCAGTTCCCTTGTTCTGGTCACCAGTATGTATTATATAGCTAATTTACATGGAAGGTTGATGGGGTTAAGATTTGAAAATTTCTGACAATGTTGACAAAATTTTATCTTTAGTATGAATGAGTATTATTGCGCTAAATTAACAGAATCACAACTACAGGGGAAAGATTCTTAGTAATCTTCTCCCAAAAGACCGAGATCCACCTATCTCACCCAGAAGGGATTAATGATAAGCCTTATTCTGGGGGTAACAAGGTTTACTAGAAAAGATTGTCAAGTAATGATTGAAACAATAAAACACTACTGACTGATATCAAGGAGGAAAGATATGATTGTATTATGTTTATACTATTAACAATAGAAAATGATTTTTTTTATTAAAGATCAAAAGTGATGTTATGGCATATACAACACACAGAAGCATTTTAATGTTGGTAATGGAAACACAAGCTACTGTAAAATGCAATTCTATCATAAATGTATGCCAAATAGTATCTTACAATCCATGTATATTCTGATCTTCATACAGCTGTCTGGAATATTGTTCCATAGGTGTTTGACGAGTTTCAAAAATCTCATCTTAAATGGAACTGAATGGAAGATTCTGTTTTCCACCTAACATTGCCATTTGTATTGCCGACTTTTAGAAAACATTATTATAGAAAACCAACACAGAATCTAAACTAGTGACATTCTCACTCCATATCTCTTTCTTTGGTGATAGCAAATACACTGATAACAAGGTAGTTATGTAATGGGTGTTATTACACTGATATTAGGGTAGTTATGAGGTGAAGCTGTTTCTGCCAATCATCAGACACATATATTACATATATCAAAGTATATACAAAATATATTACATTTATATGATACATATTTTGGGATGCTTACAACATACAATTAATACTATATCTCTCCTTCAATAAGCCCAGGGGGTTGCCAGGGTTTGGGGGCATACGGGCAATACGCCTTCAATTTAAAGTCAATGGATGGGCAGTCAAGACTAATAGGATTGAAAGTCAAGGGGTGGGCAGTCAAGACTAATAGGATTGAAAGTCAAGGGGTGGGCATTCAAGACTAATAGGATTGAAAGTCAAAGGGTGGGCAGTCAAGACTAATAGGATTGAAAGTCAAGGGGTGGGCAGTCAAGACTAATAGGATTGAAAGTCAAGGGGTGGGCAGTCAAGAGATTGAAACAGGATTGAAAGTCAAGGGGTGGGCAGTCAAGACTAACAGGATTGAAAGTCAAGGGTGGGCAGTCAAGACTAATAGGATTGAAAGTCAAGGGGTGGGCAGTCAAGACTAATAGGATTGAAAGTCAAGGGGTGGGCAGTCAAGACTAATAGGATTGAAAGTCAATGGGTGGGCAGTCAAGACTAATAGGATTGAAAGTCAAGGGGTGGGCAGTCAAGACTAATAGGATTGAAAGTCAAGGGGTGGGCAGTCAAGAGTAACAGGATTGAAAGTCAAGGGGTGGGCAGTCAAGACTAACAGGATTGAAAGTCAAGGGTGGGCAGTCAAGACTAATAGGATTGAAAGTCAAGGGGTGGGCAGTCAAGACTAATAGGATTGAAAGTCAAGGGGTGGGCAGTCAAGACTAATTATATTGTGATTTAAAATCAGGGTGTGGCCAAGCAATACTCTTACAATTTAAAGTCATGAGGTGGGCGGGCAATACTAATATGATTTAAAGTCAAGGGATGGGCAGGCAATACTAATTATAATATGATTTAAAGTCAAGGGGTGGGCAGTCAAGACTAATAGGATTGAAAGTCAAGGGGTGGGATTGAAAGTCAAGGGGTGGGCAGTCAAGACTAATTATATTGTGATTTAAAATCGGGGTGTGGCCAAGCAATTCTCTTACAATTTAAAGTCATGAGGTTGCCGGGCAATACTAATATGATTTAAAGTCAATTAGTGGGCAGCCATGATTATGATTTAATACCAAGGGGTGGGTCTTATTACCAGATACTGAGAATAGCATTGATATACTAGCTTAATCGATAGTCATATACATGTATTAAGTTGGTCATATTGCAGAATACAGATGATAAATAAAAAAAAAACAACATACATATTTATTACAACAACGATACATTAAATACTACAAAAATTAATTAGTTCACACACTGTACCTAAGTATGTGCACCAAAGTTTACAGTTTTCTTTATAAATAAAACTAAATATTTCCACATATAATGTTATATGAAAGACGAAGGGTAAAAATATCAAAGGTATGTGATGCAACCTACGTATTATCTAAACAGGCATTTAAATTGAAGATTATGTGTAAAATTGGTTGTTTGTATTATTATGCTGTAAATAAGAATAATGAGGGAACCAAATAAACATTCAGTTCACATGATCTGAGACATTTTGTTCAGAACTGTCTTATTGTATTTAAACAAATCTGGATTGATTAAAAAAAAATGTCTATTAAAAAGAAATGTTAATGTGACCTGAAATTTTATACATTGTAAATGGTTCCTCCATAAAGATACATGTAACAATTCTAAAATATTGATCATGAGTAAACTTTCTTCAGAGAGAATCAGAAGCAGTCTATTTTTCAACAGCAAAAGCTCTTCAACATATATGAAAATTTAACAAATGGAGCTGAACGATTGAATGATTTCATTCAGTTTTTCATGAATGTTCTGTACTTCTAGTATAATGTAAAGTACCATTCACTGTCTGATATTGCACATTAATTTTGCGAATTTATGTTTCCTGGAAATAGTCAAAATCCATATCACTACACATGTACAACCCTTTAAAAGAAATACAGTTAAAACATTCACAAGATTGTAGAAAGTATAAACTCTAGGTAAAAGAAGTAATATATGAAATTCTGGTTAAGTTATTATTAATATTTTCACATGAGATATCTTAGAAGTTTAAAAGGTTTAATATCATATTGATTCTTTTGATCCAAAATTGACAACTTACCCAAAATTTCTGGATAAAGTTATGTTAGCAAATACACGTACTAATATAGGTTTCCTAATGATATTATCAACATATATATTGTAATTGCTGATATACTGATTCCAAATGTAATGCTAGTTTATTATCTATGAACAATCTGTGAGAATACAGCTATAGTATTTAACCTATCAATCTGTCTATACTGACACCTGGATAATCTGTAGTAGATGTGCACATGTGAGAATAATGAAAGGTATAAAGCTAACAGAATGTCAATATTCTAAATATCTGTCTCCTTATGTGTCTGGATTTAGATGTTTGTGTTTGGAGTTAGAAAGACTACAGAGGAACTTTATGTATATAGTCACTTTTTTGCATAGTTAGAGTTTGTCTCCTGTATGTTGCTGTAAACACTATTGTATAGAACAGTTTGGCTTTGTCTCCTGTCTCTTGCTGTAAATACTATTGTATAGAACAGTTTGGCTTTGTCTCTGTCTCTTGCTGTAGACACTACTGTATAGAACAGTTAGACTTTGTCTCCTGTAAACACTACTGTATAGAACAGTTTGGCCTTGTCTCCTGTATCCTGCTGTAAACACTACTGTATAGAACAGTTTGTCTGTCTCCTGCTGTAAACACTACTGTATAGAACAGTTTGACTTTGTCTCCTGCTGTAAACACTACTGTACAGAACAGTTTGTCTGTCTCCTGTATACTGCTGTAAACACTACTGTATAGAACAGTTTGACTTTGTCTCCTGCTGTAAACACTACTGTACAGAACAGTTTGTCTGTATCCTGCTGTAAACACTACTGTATAGAACAGTTAGACTTTGTCTCCTGTATTCGATTATAAGCACTACTCAGAGCCTCTCCACACCTCTTTTTGATCTTACGACTTCCAGATGCCAACCTAAGTAAGAAAGAAAGTATATAACATAAATTGTAAATTTTCTGCTGATGAGTTCAAAACATTTGAAAAGATAAGAAACTTTACACCAACCCTTCTTTGACTTTTTGTGGGTAACAGTAAATATTCTTTTTTTTTCTCCTTTCCCCTAGCACCCTATTAATGTGCATAAGTTGAAACATCCATGTTTTCTGTAGAAAAGATTTTTTTAAGATACAGACTGATTGTTCATTTTTGTGTTTTTGTTTGTGGTAGGGAAAAGTTGAGTGAAACAAAACTACTATCAGTTCTAGACAGCGGATGATGCATTAAATTCATAAAAAGGACAATTACATCTTACCAAAGGAACTAATATCACCTGAACATTTTGTGTGAAAGATCAGATTTCACACTGAAAAAGACACAAGAAAAACCAAGAGGGTCATGGCCCTAACAGTCATCCAACAAATGAACCATTCTATAAGAAATTATTACCTTTCCTTTCACATGTTTCAAGCAAATTGGTTAAAAATCATTTGAGCATTGAGGAATATATCAAAAGAAAGCAAATTTTTTTTGAGGTGAAGACCTGTCCCTAGGAGTTGAATCACCTTTATGAATTTAAGACTGGATTGTTTTTCCTTAAGGATAATTTAAAATTATTCAGTCCCAATACTTCAAGGCATATGGGAAGAGTAGTGTTAGAGTAGTCATAGCTTATGTTACCATTTTGGGGGCCATGTTGCCTGGAGGTGCCATCAAATTTATTGAATTAAAGAACTATTTGCCCTGAACCAATGTTGTACCAAACCAAATTTCATTAAAATTCACCAAAGCATGAAGGAAGAATATTGTTTAAAGCCAATTTCAACTAATTTTCCTGTTAGGGCACTGTCCCTTAGCCCCATGAGGTAAAATAAAAATAATGAATTTCATGATATGATTGCAAACTCTACCTGATAAATCAGGCAAAGGAACAGGAGGATTAGCGATTTGAAGCCCACCTCAAAGAGATGTTTCAAACAAAATTTGGCTGTAATTCACTAAGGAGTTGAGGAGTAGCATTTAAAATCAAAATATTGCCAATCTTCACTGAAGTCCTTCTTCCTAAGTCCCTAGGGTCCAATCAAATTTCTGAATATAAGAAATGATTGTGATCACCCAATGATGCATTAGACTGAATTTAGTTGAAAAATTTAAGAATTAAGGAAGAGTAGCATTTAAAAACAAAAAATTCTCTAACTTCTCCTTTTTGGGCCCCATCCCCTGGTTCCAAGGGATTGAATTAACTCTCTGACTATAAGAAATGATTGCCCTCGCCAAATGGTGAATTTCAGGCATAAAGAAGAAATATTTTAAAGCAAAATATTCTGTAACTCTCCTTTGAGGACCCCATACCTATGTCCCCAAGGGTTAAATCAACTTTCTAAATTTAAGAAATGATTGCCCTCATCAAATGGTGTACCAGACCAAATATGGTGGAGATCCATCAAGTCATGAAGGAGAAGTAGCATTTTGAAGGAAATTTTTACACAAGGCAGATGATAGCAATGTGTCATCTTGACCATTTGGGTCAGATGGCTTAAAACCATTAATAAGGAAGCATGAAATATATTGTTTTTTCTGTTTATGTAACCCATATAGGAAGGGAGATAATCCTACCTTTGGAGTGAATGACGGGAATGAGATGGTTTGGAATCTAGGTGGTAACTATTAGGATAATAAACATCCTGAGGTACAGTTGATGTACTGTTACTTTTCTCTCTACTGGGAGCTTTACAAAATGAGTCAAGGTCAACATCTGCTTCCCCAAGGTCATCCATTGTCATTTGCATGAAAGTGTTTTCCTCTGTATGATTGGCTGTGTTATCTACAACTCTATTGGCCTCATTCTCCACAACATCAGAATCCTCAATCCCGTCACTACAGTCCAAGTCTGTGGAGGAGGGGAAAAGGTCATGGTCTGGAGACCCAGCCTAGATAATGAAAGATCATGGATAATTAACATGGTGTATAAACTAATAAAATTACTAAATGATTTTGACAATTTTCTTGTGTAACAAATTAAATATATACATTGTATCATAAAAAATACTTGTCTTGAAAAAATTGTTTGGTCTGAGAAAACAAAAAACTAAATATATAAATACATCTGTCAAAATGTAGATGGGAGTCTTCGTTTTATTATAGGATGATAACTATATATTACTTAAGAAATTTAATGTATGATATCAAAAAGATTTCAAGATGAAAAAAAAAGATGAAATTTTGCTCTATGTTTATTGTAAGTATAAGAATACTTTAGTATCACCTTTAGACAGAAACTAACTAAAATTTGATATTGAGGATAGAAGCAAAAAGATAAAATATGCTTTTCTATATTTGTTTTATATCATCATTGTATTTATTTTTCTAAATTTTATTCTGTTCTCAAAAATGAAAACAAAAGGACCTGAAAAATAACCAGTCTCAACAAAATATTTGTATCCTAAATAATGTGAAGCATACGCCACCAGAAAATGTTCAGAAACAAGAAGATGTCTGTAAGGCATGAATGCCCCCATTCCTGTTGATGTTATGATACTATGGGGTATAAATATTGACAAAATCTGCTGAAGGTAAGGACATTTATGTGAAGTAAAATGGCAGGATGGGACCGACTTGGGTAACACTATATCGTATCCTGCTACAACAGTTGAGACATATTAAGTAGGGTGGTATATCTGTATCCTTACATTATAAAACATGTAGACCTGTATAATGATTCTAAAATTGACCTGAAATAAAACATGTACCTCAAATTCTACATCAGACAGATCCAAGGAATGTGGTCTGTATGGTTTCCCATTTCTTGTCATAGAAACAGCTACAGGAGTTGAGATCTGGCTGGCATCTAAACGGCATTTCTTGCTGGGTGAGCGACAGTTACTTATGTTGAGCTCAATGTCAGATAAAGCACGAATCTGATTTCTAAGGGGAGATAATCCATTTTTTATTGGTGAGCCACTGAAGCGTATTGTTTTTGACTTATTTTCTTTGCACTGTATCTTTGCCTTTTGCTGAAATACAATCAATAATGTATAATTGCCAATTAGTTCATGCTGATCAGTTTTTGGTATGCTGTATCATTTTGTTATTGACAAGACAAATTAGACTTACAATTACCAACTGTCAATTGACCACACATGCTGAAAGAACATGTAATTTGGATAATTACAAAAAATGCCAATTTGGGAGAGTAGCTTGCTATTTTACTGTCAAGCTATTCTGATACATTAAAACATTACAGATTACAGTCAATTATTCTGAAGTTCTCTTGTAATATTTACACCGGGTTTGATTTTGTCCGGATAAAATCTTAAGGGGCTGAGCAAATATGTAATGTTGTTAGCAGAATGCTGCCATTTTGAACAAGATGCACATATTGCTTTTAGCACATGACATTCCTAACACCTACATTGAACTTAGTGTGCTTGGTGTTCAACTTTTATATTTATGGTAGAAATTTGTTAATGAACAATATGTTTTACAGTACTGCCACTGCCTCTTGTTTTGTGTATGACATGAAGCAAGCTCACAATTAATCAGTAGTTTTGTTATCCTTACAAAAATCAGCAGATTCTATTCATCGACAGCAAACATCATAAATACCTGATCATCCATTTTGCGTTCCTTTTGTCGATGTTTGAAGAGAGACTTCCCCCTCATTGGAGCCTTAGTGCTGCTTGGTTTCCTCAGTGTTGATCGGTTACTGCTCAACTTCCTGTGGTTATGGAAACAAGGCATTACTTTTATTTAGAGATATTTCACCACCATAGCAATTACAGAATGTTAAATTTCACTTAATAAGAGTTGTATCCACAAAGACAATTTCTATTTTCTGAGTATGAAATAAATTGAAAAAGATCCATTCAATTTCTATCAATATTTCAAAATTCTAGGCAACCAATGTCTTCATCCAGGGTCAACTGTATAACATACTAATTATATTAATTATGTGTGTCTCCACTGCTGTGACCCAGGACCTGACTGTATTATACTGACCTGATGTAGGTCTCCACTGCTGTGACCCAGGACTTGACTGTATCATACTGACCTGATATGTGTCTCCACTGCTGTGACCCAGGACCTGACTGTATTATACTGACCTGATGTAGTCCTCCACTGCTGTGACCTAGGACCTGACTGTATTATACTGACCTGATGTAGGTCTCCACTGCTGTGACCCAGGACCTGACTGTATTATACTGACCTGATGTAGGTCTCCACTGCTGTGACCTAGGACCTGACTGTATTATACTGACCTGATGTAGGTCTCCACTGCTGTGACCTAGGACCTGACTGTATCATACTGACCTGATGTAGGTCTCCACTGCTGTGACACAGGACCTGACTATCATACTGACCTGATATGAGTCTCTATTGCTGTGACACAGGACCTGACTGTATTATACTGACCTGATGTAGGTCTCCACTGCTGTGACACAGGACCTGACTATCATACTGACCTGATATGAGTCTCCAGAGCTGTGATCCAGGACTTTGCCTCCTCCTGATCATTTGTGTACAACAGCAGGTTCTCATCTTTACAGCTGACCTACATAATGATACAAAGTGTAAATATTTCTAACATTGAAAGGTGTTTTTTTATCTCATTATATCATCAATTAAGAATGAATACATAATTTTTTTACCTTGAACATGCCTCCAGCATCTCCTCCTGTTTTTTTAACAGTGCCAAACACACGCTCTACCTCGCAGTGTTTGAGGGGCAGTACACAACAACAGGAGTAAGATTTGTTACCACTATCCAAAAACTTGGGCTTGCCATAGATCAGCATGTCTGAGAAAAGGAAAAACATCCGATCCAGTGGCTTACCTCCCCTTCTGGAAACCTGTAATAGAGATTATCGTTCTTTAGTTCTTACTTTTTTCATTCTTCTTTTATGGTTTAAGGAAACCAGATTTACTTTGAAATCATTTATATTGATGGGGCTGAAATTTCGCACTTCAAAAAACATATATACATTTTTGTTGGCACTTGATTTTGGGAATTAACCTTGCTCATAAAATCGGCTAGTACTATAATCGATGTCAATGTTCGTCTGTTCATCATTTCATGGATTAATTGGTGGATTAAGAGTACCCAGGAATTCAACGAAAACAAATGTCCCATCAAAATAAATGACTGTATAGTATTTACCACAAATATGGATACACATAGCGCAGTCATCAACAATACACTATCTATAGACCTAGTAAATAATGTACCTTTTTTAGTGGCCCTTCCTTGATGAATTCTCTACCTGGGGCCAGTATCTTAGGAGCTGAACTGTCAAAGCTTTTCTGTATGCACAACATCTTCTGAAAGTTATCATGTTGCTTGATATGGTCGTTAATGTGGGCGGCAATGTCAGTGACCTGTTTCGTGGCTTCTGTACAAATAAGAAAGAGCATAGAATCACATAGAATAAGGAAGAGATACAATCACATAGAATAAGGAAGAGATACAATCACGTAGAATCAGGAAGAGATACAATCACGTAGAATCAGGAAGAGATACAATAACGTAGAATCAGGAAGAGATACAATCACATAGAATCAGGAAGAGATACAATCATGTAGAATCAGGAAGAGATACAATCATGTAGAATCAGGAAGAGATACAATCACATAGAATCAGGAAGAGAATACAATCACGTAGAATCAGGAAGAGATACAATCACATAGAATCAGGAAGAGATACAATAACGTAGAATCAGGAAGAGATACAATTACGTAGAATCATATGAAACTTTATTTATTGTATGACAATAGAGAAACAAGTTTTCCAACTAATGTAAATCATATAATGTAGTATGTCGCCTTAAATGGCAGTTTTGTTGTTGTTAAGTATTTTTAAATGGTTAAAGGTCACACAATCAGGTTTAGCTGAAAGTCAAACTATCAAGTTTAACTGGAGATCTTATCAACTAGGCTGTTGTTTACATTTATAGATCCAATTCCACTAACAACATTTGCATCCATTTGACCTTTTTCTTCAGTATATTAATTTTTTTAAAAAATATACACCTGATACAGAAAAATCTAATTGATGTGAACAAAGTACAGATCACAATCAAGAACAGTTAGTCTCCTTTCTCTGTCTTGTTATTGGAGAAATCAGAATAACAAATGTTACAGGAAGGTTACCTTGTAAATGTGTGTAGTCATGATGATCAGGACTTGTATTTTCCATGAGGTCTTCTAGCAGCAATTTATACCTACAAGTACATCAAACATGGAGATTTTGTCTTACCATTAATGTTCAAATTACCTGGATATATAGTCTTATCACCTTGAGAATAAATCTCTTCCAGGGCTAGCTCTGGGTCAAAATTCAGTTTCGCCAAACCAAATTTTTTTTTTGCTATAAGCGCGCGAACAGATACAATCACATAGAATCACCCGAAGAGAATACAATCATACAATAATAACACATAGCTAATTATATAATTACATTATTTATTCACTGTTTTAACAACAATACACCAAACATAATACAGTATATGGTAAAAGAGTTTATAAACATGAAATTATTACAGGCCTTCTGCATCTCGACAGTTTGCTGTTGTGTTGCCAAAGCAGCAGAGTCAGAGTTCTCATCTGTAAAATTGAAAATAAAATTTAGAATAGAATTGGACGTTTGCAGAGAGATACAGGATTACATTGAACCTTATTTTACACCATCAAAGTATTATACTTATTACAGTAACTTCCTAAGTAATATATATCTTAAAAACACTTCAGAGATAATAAAGACATAATCGTTTAACTAAAAGATTGTGTTTCTAATTCATGTGCCAAGCAGGCTGTAAGAGATACTATATACCATCCTCTAGGCATTTCTGAATTACTTAATCTAAATTTACATAATTTTCTGTTCATAAATGATGAATAGTTGTATATACCTGATCCTTTCTCATGCTTAACCAAGCACTTTTTTACTGCAGCCATCAGTGAAACTATTTCTAACTAATGCCTTCATACATATGTCACAAAACATGAGCTTTTGCTCTGGGTCATATTTTAGCTATGGCCTGCAAACTTTCTTGAATTACTGCCCTTGTTAGTAAGGCTGCACACAATAGATGGTGTCTTAAAACCAAATGATGACAATTTAACTTTCCCATCCCTATCACTAAAGGGGAGTTTACGTTTTCCCATTTCATCTAACGATCTATCTTAGTGAAGGGCCAGATCTGATGTGACTAAATATGTACAAAAAATATAAAACAAAATCGGCAATATAGTGTAAAAACAACAAAATTATATCTTGTGTTTCTTGCTATTTTAATAGTCGATCAAAAAGGTTAAGAAGCCTATTTTTTTAAAAACTAGTTTACTAAGTTATGTCTACAGAAATCACAAACTCGTAATTGACGACATCGACACACCTAATGATCGACCTACCGTAAGCCAATTCGATAAAACAACATCTTTCCTTCAGCTAACTTACCTTATTGTTCACGGCAGAGGCTATCTGGAGAGACAATGGAGACATCATTGGATAATTGGCGATTTTCATTACAGGCGTGTTGCTGTTTAGACAGGTAAATGTGTGTCAAAACACAAAAGAGTTGATAGCACCAGCTGCGGGAGTCAGTTAGCCGTGACCGTGTAGTACACAACGATGTCGGAGCAAAATTTACCTGTGTCACTCGTTACAAATAAGTTAAACGCCAGTGATTTTTCTCTATACAGTCATCGGTGACTGGAAACGTCTCTAATCGGCATTTTCGCCAATAGAAATTTGAAATCGCCAATGGCGCCATTGGCGATCGCCAGCGCGAGCCCTGCTCTTCATTCAATGTTGTCATAAATGTTTGAATCGATAGTCTACTCATTTACATAGAACTAATGAGTCTATATATGGTTCTTTGTTTAACATGTGTCTATCCATAATAACAGAACCCAAATTACTTTCCAATTAGAATCTCATCTCATCAAATCTAAGTAAATCATATGCAAATGAACAGCAAATTTTATATCAGGCTCTGTAACAATGTTGTTTAATGCAAGTTTCCACAGATTGTCTTTTTACTGTCATCACTTCCAGAATTACAACTGGTAATTAAATATTTGTAGCAAGATGTTTTGGTTACTACTGTGTTCATTATGGAATAAACTATTGGTGCTAACATATTACTTCTTCCTCTAAGTCAGGTGGTTGGCTCATTAAAGCACAATTGAAGAGTATTTGCAGAGCTTTTGCTAACTGATTTGGGACGGGGCATGTCTGCCTCATTTTGTAAAAAGAAAATTGGTGAACTGCAAAGGAAATGTTTAAGAGTAAATTGAAAATTTGGGGAATTTCATTAATAAAAATAAAATAATTTCATTTGAAAAGAGAACCCATTATCAGCTCTATAAATTCCCTGTATTGATTTATAAATTAGCTTAAAGAACAATGAGCATTCAATTATTGCCTAACAAATATTGTAATATGCCTTACTCTGTTGCCAATTTTGGTATTTTTTGCTAGATTAATAATTTTTACAAGTTTAATTTCAATAATTCAATAGTACCCATTTTGTTTTTTTGATTGATGTTTTATCAGAGTATTGAACCAGAATTTAAGTATCACCTCAGCCTTACCTTGGCACTCGTTGCACAGGGGTGATAAGTAAAGCGTTAATCTTCAATCCTTTCACTTCTGGTTTTTCCTCTTGTGTGTGAATAAACTGAGCAAAATCTGGACTCTTCTGCATCCATTCCTGAAAACGACAGGTTCATATTCCTCACAAATTTGGACATGTTTCTGTGTTTCTGCATTTGAAGATTTTTACATAAAATATTTACATTATACAAGAATACAAAATTTACATGCATTCCTATAAAAAAGTGATTTTTATATATTCAAATAAATGTTAGTTTCCCCTTTATATTTCAGTTGGATCTTATGTGTTGTTGGGCCTATATACACATGGTGGTATGGTACCTTACTAGTGTACAAGGAACAGAGGACTGACCGAAAATTCAAATTTGTAGTCTGTACAGAAAATGGGGGAAAAGTTATAATTGAGTCAGAAAACATGTGGTGTAACTTTAAGAATTTCCATCAGCAGAAAAACTAACATGTGAGATTGTATCAAAACTTCCATTTAATTGCCATATTTTGTTAACATTAGTTAAGGCACAATTTGTTTGATCACCAGTGTTACCTGTAATGTAGACACTGCTGTTCCATGATTGTTAGCATAGGAAGAGTACAACTTTAGGAAAGGTCCAAGGTAACGAAATGCTTCTCCCACAGTCATCTCCTCCATGTATTCCAGTAATGTTTTGTTGACTTCCATGATCTGTTCTGTGTTGCTAAATATCTTTGCATGTACATTCTCAGGAATCAGACAGTTGAATCGAAGTGGGAAATCGAAATGCTAAAATAGATGACGATATATACATAACTATTTATCAAAATGTGTGATATAGGTGAAGGATTTTGTAGACTACATCCTCAAGGTTTTTGTTCTGTGTTGTTTTAAATGAAATGGAAAATATTGAAAGTGCATACCTGATAATGTACATTTTGTAATTGTGTGATGTAGAGTGGGTAATTTCTCCTCTGTTCTGATTTCAAAAGGTTTTCAAGTCTGTTTTGTGAATAGCAAGAACTTCTTCCTCTTCTTCTAAGATTTACATTTCATAAAACCAGTGAAATTTGATAGAACTTAAGCCCAAGGTTCATTTTGCTGCAATTTATGGGTAATTTCCCCTCCATAAAATTGAACATTCACCATTTTACACATAAATTCAACCTTTTCAACACTGCTAAATTTTCAACACTACTTATGAGAATTTGTTCTTATTCTATCAAACTTGACCATCTTTATGCTCGTTTTGTAAACAATGCTATCAGAATGCATTGTTTTGTATCCATTTCTTAAAAAATTAAGTTGATAAACAAACACTCCAAATCAAAACAGAAACATCAGCATTATCAAACTGTATTTTATTACCTTGTTCACTAATTCAAGATGAGACAAGTAGGTTTTTTCTGACTCAAACAGTTCTATAGTGATCTTTTGACGACGTCTCTCTCGTTTGGCTGCAGCCTGGAGTAACTTATCATTTTCTCCATTACCAGAAGTAAAAGATGCATTTTCTTCTTCAGCTATTTCATTCAAAACTGCAAAACACATGTATATAAAAATAGGTTCTTTGATGAGTATCAATTCCATATGTGATTTATGAAATTAGCATGGAAACTTCTTATTTTAGAGAGCTTTTGGCTTGCTAAAATGAAAAAAAAACTAATCAAATGTCAATTTATAATCAAATATTTGATTTATGTTTTTATAGAGTAAATAAAATATTACAGTATTACAATAAGTCAAGAGTCAACAATCATAGCTAATTATGTCACATACATGCAATATAACAATTAGCACTGTAGTTTCAAACATATTTGATTATATTTGAATAAGAACTTTACTGCTTTTTACTTACCCTTAAACCTACTTCGTGTGGACAACATTTTGAATCTGTTTTATCAGCAAATTTTGATCCAGGAAAATTTCATATAGTAATGACGAATCAGACTTACAATAACATAACTTCAGGAAAACAGATGAGAAGTCCTCTGTGAAGAAAAAAAAATATAATCACTAGTAACATATATGTAAGTAAACTGATTGTGACTGAAGAAAATAGTATCAATTAATCTTTCATGTAATTAAAAGGACACAATTCCAATTTCAACACTATCTTAATTTAAATTCTAATCAAATGTGATTCAAAGCCAATGCAATGGAGTCTAATTTTTGCAATATGAAAGATCACAAGGTAGTTTCTTAACATCATCAAAAATGATATTTGTGTCAATATAAATTATGTATTACAGTTAAATACTCATTAAATTAATGCAAATTGTACCCATATGGAAAAGCAGCTAAAATTTGTGACAAATCAAAACTGGCAAGAAAATGTTGTGATTACTAAAAGTTATGTGGTAATTTGTTGTATGTTTTAGCTACTTTTTCGCATTGACTGATTAACATTTCATGTTATTCACATGTAACCATTGATTCTAACCATTATGTATCAGTCTGGAATTTACTCCAGGCCAATATATAATAGTCAGTAGAACATAAGACTGATTCTGACTTCATCGATCTGTGTGTTAGGGTATTCTCTCTATGAATGTATGAATTCAGAGGTACTATTGCACGTCTCTGGTGTTTTGTCAATATATCACAATCACAGTATATATATATACTGTACTAGCAACATTTTTTAAACAGGGGTTAGGTTATCATATACCTTTTTTGACAGAACGTCAGACTTCTCCGAAAAGCCACAGATTAACTGATATCCTATCTAAAAGACTAGGACGCTTTATATACGAAATATAGTTATTTATACTACTGAAATAGAAGTCATCATGATTCCCGGTGTATTTTCACTAAGCACATTCAATTCCTAGGCCGATATCAAAACTCATCTGAACAGTAGAAACTTACAATGCCATATGTTAAGTATTATTTTGGTTTTGTATACGTAAAACAGTTCCAACAGACATTCAAATAAAAAAGGTTTCATGTAAATATAACATTTTTACCACAGATGTAGTGCTGGTAGTTGCCGCCTCACGTTTAAACTAACCGGAAACTGTAATCGCCACCTATATGTCCTTGAATATAACATTTTATTGATTTTTGCATACATTTTACACCTGATGTTTTCAAAATACTACAAGTGTTAATTTTTAACAAATTTGGTTATCAAAAAATGACCAGTAATCGATAGATCTTTGGTAATTGATTGAACGTCTCAGTGTTTACTGCAGTTATCGAGAGTATTTTTGTACCGGAAGTGGAATTTGACAGCAAGCCGCGGGAAATGTCAACAAATGCATGTGGTACCGAACCTCGATTGTTTCACCAACTGACGCCAATTTCGGTAGGTATTCTCTGCAACTAACCCTTCTGCAAAGTAACATTTTATTTGGTACGGATTTATCTTGCGTTAAAATAGAGACTGATTTTGATTTTATATTTGCTATTATATAAAACATACGTTAAACAGTACTTCTGCAAATCGTGTCGACATGATTCCAGACCGATACATACTACGTACAGGTCATTTCGTCGCGCTGTGTCACGTGAACTAATTACCTGCGTGACCTCGCACCCAGATTATTTTGGGTATCGTGAGATGTCACGCTTCCAGAATGAATAAAAATTGTGATTGAATCCATTTACCAGAAAATATTATCAAGATATATTTCATTGACAAATCTATTTATCGCCTGGACATCGTTTACGGACCGTTATATATTTCGGAACGGCCACTTTGTCGAGACGTATCACATGCGTGACCTCGCACCCTGACAGTTTTGGTTGCTGTAACATGTCACGCTTCCAGAAAGAATAAAATAGTGATTTAAACCATTCACCATAAAATATTCCGTGCTAGTATTTTATTGGCAAATTTTTGTATTTTTTCTTAACACACAGATTTACATGTTAAACAGTCTCCCAGATATGATGAAATAACCAATCAATACATACTTGGATGCCAATGCTTTGCAGTTGTCTGTTAAGGGAATAAAAATTGACCATGACTTAAAGGCCACATCTTATCTTGCATTTTTTTTTTGGCTACAAAAGTCCAAACATGCACATCTTAAATTGGAAAAGTGTTGATTCTAAAATTATCACATTTAATGACTCATTTCTTATTTGAATTAACTAGTGAATTAGACAGACTGGTGAAAAATTACTTTATTTAGATAGTTTGTATTATAAAAAGAAAGTTAAATTCACCAAGAACTATGGCTAATCAATAAAAGCTTGAATCTAACCCTTTAGAAAAGGTGCATGTTAAACACAAAATATCCACCATTTTCACACAATGTTTTTAATTTTGATTTTATTTTCATCAAAATGACATTCCTGTTTAATTGGTGATTTTATGCAATACATGTGTACTTCTGGACTACTGTAAGCTATCTCAGGCGTCTCTGTGATTTAGTGATGTCATTAGAAATGAAAATGCAGTTACATGTCTTATAGACATGTCAGTCATTTCAGGTGAGCGAATTTTAGGTCCTGGATCTTTAGACACTGTGTATCTGTAGGATGCTTGGCGTATATAAGTATCACCTGGATCTATAGCCTGGACCAAAGTTTACACTACAAAAAGACCCAAAAATGCACATATATCTCTGCGAAATGGATATCAAATGTATTTTGATATTAGTTCATTAAGTAGTTGATGCTGTTAATTTATAAGTACATGTATGTAAGGTAAAAAGATAAACAAAGAAATGCAAAAACGTTACAAGATGTCACATTAATTATTATGTGGAAGATGTTAGTTTTGCAAAGTTGATCATATATATTTGAAAGGGTAACTCATTTTCCAACATAATTCTTACACTGAAGGTTTGCATTTTTGTTTCATACTTGGTACCACTGCAGACTACCCATCAATATCTAAGTCCCTGGTACCACTATGTCTCCGAGATTGAGTTTCTTACATGATTTATCAAATAAATGTGTGAAATACTTTTCAATTCTAAAATTTAAACATTTATGATATCTTAAATATGAAACAACACTGACTAAGGTAAAGGTAGCTTTTTATGATAAATTCTGGTGATAAATTTTGTTCATGGATGAGAAAAGGATTAAGAGTGTGAAAGAAATATTGCTTAAGGAAATAAACTGTGGCTGGCAATTTACATAAATGTGAACAGAGTAGTCATTTGATTACATCATTGAATTTGTGTTATTTAAGGTTAGTATCTGCTATAATATCAGCAACAGTTCTGATTACTTGTTCATGTTTGTCATAAGCCCTGTTTATGAATTTAAAGCATATCGTGAAGAGCATGTTTAAATGTTTGAACAGCCAATAGGCCTTTGTAATTTTTTTCTTATTTCATATATATTAGACATGTAAATCAAGTAAACTCTCTACATTCTTGTGATATGTGTTCAATTGCAAGCAAGGAATGTATCAACTCTTTCTCTGATGAAATGAAACCCATTGTGCAGTTGTTGTTGATTGTCTCTGAAAACTGAAGATGTGATTAGTTTATATTTTGTCTTGAAATTGGAAATGTTTAGATTTTTATGGATTTTGATGCATATGATAAATACATACAGGTGTAATTGGAAGGAATAATGAAAAATACAGTGTCTAGGTGCTGGGATTGAATTAGGCCAATACTTCTCTGTGGTTTTTACCTCCACTAATACTGATGATTCTGATGAAGCTATAACGATCCTTTGTCTCTAGTCAGACACTCTACTTCTAGATTAAAGTGAAATCCCCATTAGCCAAGGTTAGAAAAGTGACCATGAGTATCCTTAACTTCTACAAATTCTAGTACATCTATAAGTAGGACTCATCAGTTTAAAATATTCACTTTGAATATGAGAACTAAAAATGTGCTCAAATAAATTATGAACTGATAAAATGGTATCGATCACTATTGTGTAAGGGACTTTAAAAATGTTTAAAAAAACCCCAGTTAATTGGGCAAACAAACAATTGATTGGTTGCCAGTAACCAGTTCAGATAATCAATGTTGAAATTTCATCTCATCCCCATGAACACAAGAAAATATTCATTAGATTTACGAGAGTTTGCTACCTTAAAACTTCAGTGGCCTATAACTGTGCACTACACTGCAAAAGGTGCAGATTTCAGAGTTACTTGACTGGGCATGATTATTTCCTCACCAATCACACTCATCCACCATGATGATCATATGAAGATATTATCATGACTAATTATGTTTTGAATCTTCAAAAAAGTGATGGCATGTGAGGATTCCTGGGAAACTTTGGGGATCCCTGGCTGGGTATTGTCTAACGTAGGAACAGTATTATCTGATTGGGGTAAATAGGTACCAGGGTCGAGGAGGTGGGGCACATGGGCTAGATAAATAGGTTTTGCAGGTCTTTTCCAGACCTGGTGTAGTTTAGAAGCAGGAACTGGTCAGACCCACCATGGTGTAACACTTGAACTTTGTATTTCAGCTTATGTCCAATGGCATCTGTTGACTCTTGGCATAAGTTTAGCCCATGAACTGTCAGAGAGTTGGCAGAAACTGGCCTGTAACTTATTCTAAATTTCCATTGTCTATGCTCATATATTGTCCATTATCTATCCATAGCTATGTCACTTGTCTGTCATCTTTTATACTTGGTCATTGTCCATAATGCCTTTGTTGTTGTCTATGTATAAGTATTGTATATGTAAAAAAAAATTCTTAGTAATCACACATTCTATTTCTGCCATCAAGAATTTGTAACATAACCAAAGTATGATTGATGAGCAGTACTGGAGAAGACATTCTATTATATGTTCAAGATATAATCACATTTTGTGCAATGTTATTTTCCGGAATTTACTTACTAAAAAAAAATCACACATCACACAGTCATACGTTCATTTATATGTACATATATATAAACATCAATGCGTAAATTCACAACAAACAATGTCCTTACAAGTCACTTGAAGGCCATCATAGCAGAATGCAAATATTCCATATCTCCTTGACGTGAAATGT